GATTTCATGAAAGGAAGGCAAATTATCAAACAAAACAAACAGAGTCAGATAATTACTTCACTGAGGATGAGAACCCCCTTCTTAGAACTTTGGCATGCCAAAAACTCATCGCTGACAAGATTCATCCCGTCGCACAAGGACGTGACAAGTGCCACATTTGTCGAATCATATCGAGGTGAAAAGTGTCATAATAATGCTTAATGAACTGTTAGAGCCAATATGCTATTCGCCACCAAAGTGGCTTAAAACTTTAACACTCACATAATCAGGATCTTGAAATAGTAATAATAAAAAATAATAAATTACATTATCACAAGGTGCGGGTGCCAGGTGGAATGAAGAACTAGCTGCAAATCAATAGCCGAATGAACATTGCAACTAACATCATGGCTAAATGTGCTATTGACAACTCACAATTGATATTCCAACATTTTAAGCCTACTTGACAAAGAAAATCTTAAACTTAGAATAAGCTGCATTCTTTCTTATATATGTGCTGCATTCTTTCTTATCAAACAATTGATCTGCTAAAGACTGAGCCATACCAGTGATTGCATAAAGTGCAATAAGGACTCAAACTCAAGAGCACGATCCTGCAGACAATATAAAAGTTTGTTTCAGTAGACTCTCAACTGGTTCAAGAGCATTTAATTTTAGTATAGAATATTTCTTGATTTCCAAAAAATATTTGGCAGTATGGTAAATGCTTTTCGATACATACAGATGCAAGCAACCGAAATATACATCTTAAGCCTGCTGATGAACTTACTAACCCGGTAAAAAAATTGATTTCCGAGTTCCAAATCTGCAATTGACCCGTCCAACAATTTCATTGACCTGGCTTTTTAGCTTTTGATCTGTGGAGATTAACAAGGACAAACAATATTAAAATTTCATGGTGGAATTAAAAAAAAAAAATCAAACAAACATCAGAATAAGCTGAAAAGTCGAAACAGAAAATTACAGTCAGCTGTTGTGGTTGGTAAAGCAACTTGCAGTAAAACTACCTTATCTTAACAGCCAGGATTTTCCTCTAAAAATTTTTTAAATCCTAGTATCTTTTGGGGTATTCCTCCGCTCATATCAAGGCGATCTACTCCCATCATTACCTGTATGCAATTTCAGTTCAGTTTCTTTTAAGATCAAAAAAGAGATGAAAATATTGTATTCATATATGATAAATTAATTATGCTTAGTTTTACAATTATATATATTTGATTAGATATTTATAAACATGCATTAACCCCATTAGGCATATAAACACTACATTTAGGGCCTCCTATTGTCAATTTTTTTTTTTTTTTTTTGGTTTGATTGATTTTACGCAACAAAAAGCGAGTAACTAAAATAAATTGAGTTTGAAATTTTAAAACTCTTCGCAAAGATTGGGTCATAAATCCCTCATTATACATTAATTCAAAACGTTTTGATATTAGGTGGAAGATTCTCACGCTTCAGATGTTGACATGGCGAAAATTTATGTTTCGTGGTTTTTTTTTATATTATTTGAAAATTTATGTTTCGTGATTTTTTTCATATTATTTTTGCTCAGGAGTTAGTTTGGTAGTAGACATAATTCACTAGTAGAAAAAATATTTTTTATAACAGGGTTTCTATAACGAGTTTGTTAAATCCGTTATAAAAACTAAGGTGGTGGCATTTTTGTAATAATCATGTTCTATTTATATCGGTTATCTATGAAATTAATTACATCAGTTATAAATTTTTCAAATTCTCAATTATGTATAGTGGGTATTTAAAAAGCCGTTATAAATTATTTAGATTATCAATTGTACATGACGGGTATTTAAACAACCGTTACACAATTTTTAAGGTTTATTTTCCAATCCCAAAATCATAGAATTAATCTCCATCTCGCACAAAATCACAAAAACTCGTCCCAAGCCCTATTCGCAGGCCCCCGTCGCCGTCCGTACTAGGCCCCCGTTGCCGGTCGTCCCAAGCCCTATTCGCACGCAGCCTGTCCCCCGCAGCCCTCGCCGTCCGCTGCTTTGAGCCCTCGACGTCCGGTGCCCGCGTTCGGCCCTGTTCGCAAGTCGCTCGTCCCCCGCAGTCCTCGCCATCCGTTGCTTTGAGCCCTCGCCGTCCGGTACCCGCGTTCGTACCAGGCCCTGTTCGCACATCGCCCGTCACCCCTCAGCCCATTCGGTTCTCCAATATCTGTGAGATTCTCACCCTCTTTTGGTAGTTCTTATTCTCTTTTGTTGTTGTTTTAGAAGAAGTCTATGTTTTGCATATGTGGAGATTTAAGATGAATATGTTTTTCTGTTGGGGTTTAAGATGAATATGTTTTGTATTTTGCTTTTTATAATTAGATGTATGTTTCCATAAGGAGTCATGTTGGCGACTTGCATTATGTGGTTATGCTTGAAGAAGAGCATGATAATGCAAGTGTAAGCGTCCTGTCCCGGTTTAGAACGGATCAAACTTGGTCCTCGCCGGTAGAACGCTGAAAACCTGCAAATAACTCTCACACTGGGGATTGTGTCCGGTGAAGAGTCTCCGATGCTTAAGTCAGTATGTATATGAGTATACTGGAAATAAGGAATGAATAGAATGTGTTAAGGAAGAAAGGCTCACCCCCTTTATATAGGGGTGAGATACCTGCCCTAATAGCTGCCCGGATAAGGCTGAGTTGGCTGCCAAAGCTGCCCGTCCGTACTCTGACACGCCGCGCACATGTCAGAGGTGGCGCGGGGCGTTGGGAGCTGTCAGAGGTGGTTATCGCTATCACCCAATACATTGTCGACACGTGTCCCCCATGCACATGAGGTAAATATTCTCATAGGCTTCAGTTAGAGGCTCTCACGCGCATCTGCAACACATGCGTCTGGGCTTAGGTAGATTAGCTTACTCGATCACTTATCTGATCGAATGATGGATCGCTCGATGTATCTGGTCGAGCGTTGGGCTGCTCGATCCCTCGTCAGGTCGAGCATCGGGTTGCTCGATCGTTTGTCTGGTCGAGCATTGGGTTGCTCGATCGCTTGTCTTCCTGCCTTTTAATTTGGCTTGGTTTGCTCCCGGTTTGGTCTTCTCAACCGGCTCATCAGACCTGTTCACCTTTATACAGATAATATCCTATATCACATGATATGTTATATGCAATGGTAACATTTATTGAGGTGGATAAAACATATTTTCTGAAGTTCTGCCAAAATTTTCCACAACTTTTACAGGTAAGGAATCATGTGATCGAGTATTCCAAGGGTCATATGTTGAGTTGTTGTGGTTATGAAACTTTGTTATTTGTTCCATGCATTTCGCTACCACTTGAAGAATAACAGTAAAATTAGTTCTTCTTTGTTCATTGCTACGATTTATTAATAGTTGGCTGTCTATTTACTTGATTGCAATAGTAGGTTATAAAAAGGATAAGATAATGGTAACAATAAAAACAATTATGTATGCTGATAAAAACTATTAATAAGTCCAAAACCTACGCACGATAAAAACTTTTCAGATTGCATTTTATTTTTTGTTTTGATATTCACATAGATTAAGATGTTCTAGTTTCACTTCGCACAATAAAAACCTATATCACGAAATGCAATAGCTGAGGAATTTTTTTTTTTTTTTTTTTT